TAATGATTAGGATTGTACTCAGTCAGAACTGCAAAACTATATAATAAGAAATAAATTGTGAGCATTATCGAAAAATATAGTATACCCTGAAATGTAGCAACACAGTCAAGTGAACATACGAGTAGGCCGGTGGAATTATTTCATATTATGCTAACAATGGGCATATTTCGGAGATATAAACAGACCGTCATAGAAAAGTCAGTTGACATGCTATTACTGCTGGTAAGTTAATATATGCAGACAACAATCCACACTGGGTTGCTATAGGAATCTTATTAAGCCTGATTATTAATAATTTACTGTAAAGATGTGCATAAATATTTCGTCAACATCATTTGCCAGTCTCAGCAACAGTGGAATATAATCAATGTGCTCTACCACAATGGGCAGATCAATAGTTTTTGCCTCAACAGGCTCTAGTACTACCACAATGCATGGGCAGATCAATAGTTTTTGCCTCAATAGGCTCTACCGCAATGGGCAGATCAATAGCTTTTGCCTCAATAGACTCTACCACAATGGGCAGATCAATGACAATGTTATTTTGTGCCTCTATGGGCTCTGCCACAATGGGCAGATCGCTTTTGTTTTGTTCCTCAATGGGCTCTACCACAATGGGCAGATCACTTTTGTTTTGTGCCTCAATGGGCTCTACCACAATGAGAAGATCGCTTTTGTTTTGTGCCTTAATGGGCTCTACCACAACGGGTAAATCCATGTTACTTTCCACCACAATGGGCAGATCTAGATTAATGTTACTTTGTGCACTACTTGTTTGCGACATCAGATCAATCTCATACGAAAACATGTTCCTACAACGTACATGAAACACCGACAACTTTTGGTAAGTTATCTACAGACAAGAACTCGATACTTGGTTCTAAGACAATTAAGCCGTTATTCAGAGATTGTAATAAGACATTGAATTTGTTAAATGTTGTTTTTGACCAATCGATCAGTGACATATTTTCGGCTGTTACTGAATTGCTGATAAACTCATGAAAGCACACTGTTTGCCTCTAGATTGTGCACTAAAAAGGTCATCGCCTTGATCTATATAAGCAGAAAGAAATAAAGCCATACCTACCTGATTTTTCTGAATATTTTCCATCGTTTGCCGTTCGTTTTTAAAAACCTTGACTTCTCGTCTTGTTCTCGAGCACATGGAAGAAAACATGCTTGCGCAATAGAAAAACTTTCTCGACCTCCCCCCTCAAAATAATTAAGGCACTGAAGCTTAATTATTTCCCCGGAAATTCGAAATCCTGACAGACAGACACAAGATCGAGATTTCGACAATACATAGATCGCGCGAAAGACTGGGTCGAGTGGACTCTGGAGAAACCACCGCGTGTTAAGAATAGTGTGCTGCCTCGCTACGCTCGGCAGCAACTATACGGCAAAAAATTGCTGCAATGATCCACAGCATTTTGTTCTCCCTCTACGGCAATTGCCGCAATAAAATTCAAGCCAAATATTACCTGTCATCTTGACCCAGGGCCGCCGAGAGGGGGGTGGGGGCAAATTGCCCCAGGTTCTGGGGGGCCCCTAGAAATTTTTGGGGTTAAATATTTCCGTGCAAAGGGCAAGATATTTGTTTTTTCCAGGCAAAGTACCGATGGAGGAGGTGGTTGTTGTTGGGAAAAAATTTATTCCGGAAAATTTTTTTAAAAGGGTCCCTAACGGCCACCAACCTCTCGGCGGCCCTGATAATACCCAACACTTTTCAAAACTGTTAGTCCCATTAGTACATTAGTACACCCTAATCTGTTAGTCTAAATGTTTCAAACAATGTCTAAATATTTAAAAGTATAAAAGTATACATGAGGGTCATGCAATTTCACTCATCAAGGGTATGTGACATGTAATTGCCAATTTTCCAGACTTTAATGCACTTTTTTAAGTCTTAAATACACCCTAAATTTTAAATGGACCCATATTTGCTATATTAACCCTGAAGATTTTTTATTTTGGTAGGCTTGTTTTGAAGCCAACAGATCAATGCTTCTGTAAGTTCTGCATTTCCTGTGATTACAATATAACAGATACAATACAATACACCCTTCTGGAAAGAACGTCATCTATTTTCTCTTATAGCAAATTTTGCAAGCTCTGTCACCAAAACGAGCGACACAAGACATTATGTCTTCCAAAATGAGGTTTCGGTGCGTGCTAACGACGAAGTAGCAACGAATAGAGAAAGGGACTTAAAAGCTCTGAATGTCTCGGCCGCCTTAATCGCGTACCACCCTTCTACTGATGCAAGTAAGTGTTGGTCAAACTTTGACGCTTTTCTTTTCAATCTTCTATTTTTTAATCTTTGAATGGAGCATGCACATGTCACTTAGTCATTCAGTTATAAAATACAGATGATTTACTTAACCAATTACAGTTGATAAGCTGATGCAGAAAGTGGGAACGTTGATGGATATCCGTGTCACCCCGGGAACTTGGAAGTCTGAGCGTGAAATGATTGGCATCGTTTCTGAAGCTGAAACAGAATATTATGGAGGTAAAGTATGTGCATTACAGTTGATAGTATCAGGGCTTTCAGCAGAGTAGGTGGCTGTGTTGAATGTTGATAAAGTTAAGGCAGCTGTGGGGAGTGGTCTAGGAAGTCTTAAAGTCAGGTATATTGATGAAGATATAACAACACAACTGATATTTGTGATGTTACTCTGAGTGTATATCCACACCGGGCGAGCTTGAAAAATATGCCCGGCCATGGTGAGATTCGAACCTACGACCTTTGGAATACTAGCTTTGTAACCAATTAGCCATTCCGAAACTGCCTCCTCCACAGGCCCTCGTTGTGTCATGGGAAGATTCCGAAGTTGATGAGTGGACTGGGGACGAGTGTTAAAAAGTGCCCAAATTAAGAAATGAACCAAATCACTAAAAAGACCACCTCAAAATTAGTAAGTATACAAAGTTTGAAGACGTTTACATGAATATCCTTCGAATAATAAGCTTTCGAAAATCGTGATATTTACTATGAAATGTATTGTAATTTTTGTTTTTGGGACGTGCGTCCCAAAAAGAATCTTTTAATCAGCAATTTCACAATTTTCGAAAGCTTATTATTCGAAGGGGATTCATGTAAACGTCTTCAAACTTTGTATACTTACTAATTTTGAGGTGGTCTTTTTAGTCATTTGGTTCATTTCTTAATTTGGGCACTTTCTAACACTCGTCCCCAGTCCTCTCATCAACTTCGGAATGGCTAATTAATAGTGTATCACTTTTATTCTTTAACACGATAACTTCCAGATTTAATTAAAGGGTATGGGCAATGAAAATTGCTTCATCTATCTTATTGCTTCATCTGAAAGAGCATGAAGAAATAAGCCGATTGGCCGTTTACTGCTCTATTCTATCTCATCTGGTTCCGAAGTTATACGCAAAAATGTGCAAAATATAAATAGCTGATTCAGCACAATGTGTGACGTCATAAGCTGGGTAAGTATGTTTATTGAATAGTAAACTAAAGCATAGCTGAGTTATTATTGGCTCAAATCAAATGAAATTTTGCATACAGATAGTACATGATGAGACGCATGGGAAAATACTTCTACTTTCGTTGTCAAGGCAACACAGTCGTTCCCAGGCCCCTTACACTGATTTTGAATAACTAGTTGCATTTCTCTGTGTGTATGTCATTTTCGAATTATTATCATGCAAGTAAACTTTCGGCATGCATAGGTATCGTACACATGCTTCTGATATTATTTTATTTTTATCAGTACCTTGAACAAAGCTGTTTTATAAAATTGGCGCAAGGGGCCTGGGAACGACATTGTTACCTTGGCAACAAAATTAGAAGTGTTTTTCCATGCGTCTCATCATGTACAATCAGTATCCAAAATTTCATTTGATTTGGGCCAATAATAACTGAGCTATGCTTCAGTGTAGTATTCAATAAACATACTTACCCAGCTAATGACGTCACACGTTGTGCTGAATCAGCAATTTATATTTTGCACATTTTTTCGTATAACTTCGGAACTAGATGAGATAGAATAGAGCATTAAACGGCCAATCGGCTTATTTTTTCATGCTCTTTCAGACGAAGCAATAAGATAGATGAAGCAATTTTCATTGCCCATACCCTTTAAGATGGCAAATCTGTAAAACAGTTTTACGAAATAGTATGTGGTTTTCGAAAATAACCAGGTAGAGGAAGGAGAGCAAAATTGACACTTCAAGTACAAAACAAAGTAATTAACCAGCGGAACCAGCGTTGAACTTTGCGGCAGCCGCCGGAGCTCCAGTGGACAAGCGAGTTCTGACCAGCATACCAACAATGATGAGGCATGGTAACTCAGATACGATATAGCTTCATCCTGGGATAATGCATTTGGAGGATTGCCTCATTATGCCAAAAAATTCACTGAGTCTGTGCAACAAAAAGATAGAAACAAGATCGGACTTTATCCAAGGCTCTGGACCATATTTTGATTCACTATGGGTGAATTGCCTGCCCCTAGACAGATTTTTGTAACCAATTAACTAACCTACTGACCATACTGTTAAACACCATAATTTTATTTCCCAGCTGTTGCTTTCGGAGACACGAGTCGTGTGCTCAATGGTACAGAATTGCCAATGGATCTAAGATATGTTATCCGGCTACCGGCTCAACGCTGGCTCACAGATCGAACATATCCCTTCTTCCGTTTACGAGAACCTCAGAAGAGCACAAACAGGTGTGTATGCATAGTTGATAAGTTAGCCTGTGCGCAGTCCAGGCGTAATAAGGGGGCCATGCAATCGAAGTGTACGACAGCATTTAGCTTTCATAGAGAACGTATGGCACCGCATACAGTGTGATAAACCAGTGGTGGATCCAGCAGTTTTTTTTTTTTTTGGGGGGGGTGCTAAAAATTTTAAAATTTGGGTCTCTGAAATGGCATTTCCAGCATTCTGAGAAAACATTCTGGAAAATTTTTAGATTCGCAAAACATTTCAAAATTCAGAATATTTAATATTGGCTATTCCGCTATTGTCAACTAGTGATACCCAACTGAATTCCTTAACATAAGTTGGTTAGAATTAGGATAAACGTCATTTTTGCACCCCCCCCCATGCACTCCTGTTGACCCGAGCCTGGGAGGCTGCGCACCCCACCCCCCCGCACCCCCCGCCCCCCCCGCCCCTAAATCCACCACTGTGATAAACTTCAAACTTGGCACAAGACAAACTCGACTTGCAACACCCTTTGACTTGGAATTTTAAAAAAAATAAGTAGATTTATACTGGCATTTCAGTGTATGGGATGACAAATACTTCCTGCAAGCTATAAGAAAACTTGCAGCAAAGATATATTGTTAAAACTTCCCTGGTATAGTGCTTCCGATGCATGGCGCTGCAGCACTGTTAAGTAATATGTTTTTTTTCCCACAGTTTGTATTCCAGTCGTTTTGTTTTTCTTCAATATGCCTTGGACGCATCAATTGCACAAACTATCTCCAATTCAAGTTCTCCACATGCATTTATCCTCAAGGTATTAACAAAACATTTTCCTTTGGTTTTTGAGTGGAAGCTGCATGGTCAGGTTCAATATATTTCTTTGAGCTAGTTGTAACATGGAAGGGCAGTGCATGCAGAAAAGATATTGCAATGTAGGTAGTATTTTCCAATAAGTGAGCCAATAAGCTGCATCGTGATCTTGTTTGTGTCTGAACTACCTGAAAAAGTTATATCAAATGTGGTGGCCAGTGTAGGTAGTATTCTACAATAAGCTGCATGCCATGGTTTGTGTCTGAACTACTTGAAAAAGATATATAGCAAACATGGTGATCCAGTGTAGGTAGTATTCTACAATAAGCTGCCATGGTTTGTGTCTGAATTACCTGAAAAAGATATCTCAAACGTGGTGGTCCAGTGTAGGTAGTATTGTACAATAAGCTACTGTTGTTTGTGTCTATTGGTAGATTAGAAATATTTATTTTTCTCTCTTCTTGCCATTTCCAGCAATTTCCATATCCAACTTATCGTAAAGATTACTTCAATACAACTGTCGCGGGGTTTCTGCCACTTTTACTCACGCTGGCTTTTATCTACACTGCTATGATGATAGTAAAGGTAGGTACAGTATTTCAATGCCTGATTATTGATGGCATATACAAAGTATTCGCCAAAAAGGCGTACTTTATAGTCGCAAACCGTGAGCTATAAGGTATGCAGAGAACAGCCTGAACAGACATACCTTACAGCCGGCCATCTTCTGCAAATATTCCGCAAATGGTCTAAAATTCATCTTTCGTAGGAATTGGTATATGAGAAACAATGTCGTTTGAAAGAATCCATGAAAATGATGGGGCTATCCAACTGGATCCATTGGCTTGCTTGGTTTACCAAATGTTTTCTATTTTTGTTCATTTCTGTTTCTCTTGTCACTGCTATCCTGTCGGTAAGGTTTTGCGTTTCAATAATTTTTCCTCATAAAGATAGGCAATTAGCCTTTACCCAAAAGAGATCACAGTGCATTCTGGAATCGTTTGGAGGGACAAAATATATGGTGACAGGCGTCGAATATGTGAAAGAGTAGAAGCATCTACTATCAAATATCAACTTTTTAGACGACCAAAAATGAAATATCTCCTTTTTACATTAAACATTTAATTTAAGCGACTAGACCCAGGACTTTGGGAAATGGCTAATTTGCAATAGACTTGTTTAGAACTAGCTCCTTAAACCAAGACTTATTTCAGTCACCACTTACTTAGCGCCTTGTATAAATTATCCTAATGTAAAACTTGGAGACACATAGTCCTGAGAACCACGGTCTTAGCTAAGTTTTAAGATTTTGGGTGTTTCTAAGGCGTGTCCAGTACCTGCCTGGTTCTATGTGACATGACCAAGTACCAGGCCAATATCACACCGACATTACAACGAGTTACTATAGAGACTATTTGGGCCATTATATTTTGATACCCAATACAGTTGACACTATACACGTATATACCTAACATAAAACATAGATCACTTTACCAATTCCCACCAACTAGATTTTACAAACTTTCTTACGACGTAAACAGAAGTAAATCCCGTCTGTTCTAGGGAGTAACATTTTCTTTTATGAACCCGGTCTTATCTTGCCTGTTTTTGCAGTTTTGGTTGCGCTAAGACCCTGCTGAGAACTGTCTGCATGTATTCATTTTAGGGAGCAAAAATATTGGAACATTCCGATGGTTCTGTTGTGTTTGTTTTCTTGTTGCTTTATGCCGTTGCTAGCATATTCTTCTGTTTCGCCATGAGGTAAGCCCAGATTTGAGGCATTATTTTGGAAATTCCTTTATTTGTTAATTCCTAATCACAAACTCATTATATAATAATTCTCATCATAGTCTTTTGTGACATGGTCTGGAAAGCTCAGTAAACTTCAAATGGTTATAATGAGCTGGCAGTTTATGTTGATCCGTATCTTACACGAACGAACTGAAACGTTGCTATTGGATGATTCGTTCATTATACTGAAATACAATGTGTTCATTGACCATGCACCGTGCACAAAACTGCATAAACGCGAACAAAAAGATAGAACAAAGACTTTAGCGGAGTTTCCAAACCATTTTTTGAAAGACTGTGTTCTCATGAAGCCGACCATATTGCTTTATTTTGCTCACATGATAATAGTGGAGACCTTGTGAAGTATATTGATCCTAGGACTGGATTAAAATTAATTCACCTCTCTTTGAGTAGTGATTTATTCGTAGAAGATGTCATTTCAAGTCTGACTATGAGGACTGGACTAGATTTCCAGTCCTCGTATTTTGATCCAGTCCTCGCATTTTGATCAAATTACGCGGACGGACTTGAAATCTAGTCCAGTCCTCATAGTCCGATTTCAGATGTTACTTCAATTCCTTAATTAAAGATGTTGAATTTGTACAGAAATGCTTGAGAGGTCATTTTAGTCCTAATGCTTTAGTTTTTGGATATTTTCTGAATTTGTTTGACATTAAAAAACATTTTGTTGAACTTCCTCAGTAAAACTAGTGAACTATGGTGAACGATCGTTCTCATATGCTGCACCGAAACTGTGGAACGAACTGCCAGAGTATATTAGAAAGAGTGAGACCTTGCCTATTTTTAAAACCAGATTAAAGACACATCTTTTCAAACAATATTATGACTAAGTTATTATCTTAACAAGATTATTAGCAATTTTATAGTATTCTATATAGTTGTTGTTTTAATATTATCAACATACATAACATAAAGTAATTTTATATTCTTAACGAGAAGAGCATATAATTAATTTTTTAGTAATTTTATAGTATAGTAATTTTAGTAGTCAATTCATGTACTATGTTCTAACACTTAGTATATATTTTTAACACTTAATGTTAAGCGCTATTGAGCTATGGGAAATGGCGCTATATAAATGAATTATAATAATAATAATAATAATAACTTATTTTTGTTCCTGTCTTAAAGTACACATCTGTTTGAAATTCATTAAAGTTATGTTGTCTTATTCTTTCAGTGTAGTTTTCTCTAACGCTGTCCTTTCCATGTTGTTTTCTGGCGCTCTCTGGTTCGTCGCTTACGTACCGTTCGCAAGTGTATCGAATGATAACACTTATGAAGGACTATCATCGTAAGTTTACATTGACATAATTTATACCAGAGACAGATTATCCGTTTGTGGCTATTTTTTCCGAAAAATCATGTCAACCAGAAAGCGTTCAAAATATGTTTCTCAATACGCTGATCATTTCTATATATACTTTTTCGGAACTTTTTGGAAAAAATTTCTCAGAGAAATTTTCTTCAAGAGTCGAACCCAACCCTCACCCACCCTTCTCTAACCTTATTCAGCATTTCAGCTAGGGTTAGAGGTTACCCGCGCTCCTGCAAGAGGTAACGAAGATATAAATAAATAATAGAAAATAAAATACACAACCAAGTCCAAAACCCAACATCTTGAGATATATGGATTACAGCACTCTGATGCGAAGAGCTAACTACAAATTTAATATGTGTCTTTGCTAGGATGATGGTAGCCAAATCCTGTCCACCAATGTAAAAGCGATGTTGGCGAAGGAGGCTAGGATAATGTATTTCTTGTTTCTTTCTAGTGCTTCAAAGTCTGGTATATGTCTGTTGGTCAACAGTTGTCTTGGTATCGGTGCTAAAAGTTTTTCTTCGTATGAAGAACGCGGTGTTGGCGTACAGTGGAGTAATATTGCCGATTCTCCATCACCTGACGATGATTTTAGTCTTGCTCAAGTCTTTCTTATGTTCATTGTTGAAATCATCATATATGGCTTATTTGCATGGTGAGTCAGGACTGTGTATGCGCTTGCAATCTGGGCTGTGTGATGGAACTAAACTTAATTTATATAGTGAATACAGACCTATTGGTACGTGGTTGATGGTGATGGTTGGTGATGATGATGATGATGGTAGTTGGTGATAATGGTGGTGGTTGATGATGGTGGTAGTTGATGATGATGGTGTTGGTTGGTGGTTGTCGTAATAGTGATGGTGACGATACTGGTCATGATACTGGTGATTATGATCAGCCTGATTTTTAACAACTCAAATAAAATCAATTCCTTGACATCTTCGATTCCTTGACATCTACTACCAACAGCCGAGATATCAGTCTAGACAGCTAATTTCCCTGTTTTTAAAGTACCATCTCCCTATTTGTCAAGGTATTATGAAGCAGTATTTCCTGGAGATTATGGTATCCCTCACTCACCATGGTTCTTTGTTACCAAATCATATTGGTGTGGCACATCTACCAGCAAAGTTGACAGTAGTCAAGAACCTGCTGTAAGTTTGTCTTCGTGAAACATAACTGGATATCTCAGTATTGTATCTTGCAAAGTCTCCAGTGTTTGGTTGAGTCCAAGTGGAAGCACCAGACTCGTGTGAATGAGCCAAGATTATAATCAGAAGTCAAAATTATGATCAAAGGAGACTTCGATGATTATCCCTCACATGCCCTGTTCACATTTCTCTACGGAACGTAATTCTGCCATTTTTGGCAGTGAGTTGTCTGTATGGAGTAGGGTCAAGAGTTGTGTTTTTTCCTGCAGGCATTGTCCAATCTTCATCTGAAAAACCCGGACTACGAAGAGGAGCCCACGGATCTGGAAGTTGGAGTTTCCGTTTGTGATTTGAGAAAGATTTTTAGGGTACGGTATGCGAATTGTTGGTATTTTACATTTTAAAAAGATAATTCTCAAACTGACTCGTGGGCAAAGCCCGAAGGAAGTTAACACAATAGCCTTGTTCTGTTACCACCCTAATGCCCGTCCATAAATTAAGTCTCCTCCTCTGTTTATTTTCTTCTTACCTCATGGTTCGTTCGCCAAACATGCGCTCGTGACCAATATGGTTTCAGACCCTGAGAGCTTCAGGTCTGAAACCCTCAGGGTCTGAAACTCTCAGGGTCTGAAACCATATTAGGAATAGTGGATTTGCGTTGGGTTTTTGTTGGCGCAAAACGTACCAAATCAAAAGTTATACATGAAGTATTCATACGTGAACTACTTGTCATGAGATTCTGGAATAACTAGTTTGGCGTTGGGTTTTGTTGGGCCAACAGAAAACCCAACGCAAACACGCTCTTCCTAAATCGCGACAGGTATAAAGTTACATAACATACATCATTCAGTCGTACGCCCGCATTCTAAAAGCTCACTCACACTCAATGAGTGGAAGTTCAATCTGAACTTCTCTCGAGTGCCATTGCTGTTTTTGAATAGCGGGAGTGCTAGTGCCGTACCTTAATACGTGACTACTCACCCTACAGCTATTCAAAAACAGCATTGACACTCAAGAGAAGCTCAGATTGAACTTCCACTTATTGAGTGTGAGTGAATTTTTAGAATACGGGCAGTAGAGTGTTTTGTACGCTAATATATTACTTCATATATTGAAAAGTGAGCAGGAAAATTAACGTGTTATCTTCTGCACATCATATAGAGTTCCGTAGGTAAAAAGGTTGCTGTGGATCATTTGTCATTCAACATGTTTAAAGGACAGATTACTTCCTTACTTGGACACAACGGAGCTGGTGTGTATCCAACCTGTATATTGCAAGAACATTGCTTAACCAAATGTGATCTTGAACTTACCCTGAACTACTTTGAACTTACCCATTTTATAGGTAAAACAACAACGATGTCAATTTTGACTGGTCTCTTTCCTCCATCATCTGGGACTGCTTACATCAATGGCTACAGTATACTCACGGATATGGAGCGAATCAGGGATAGTTTGGGTCTCTGTCCACAACATAATGTTCTCTTTGATAAGCTCACTGTGAGGGAACATTTGAAATTCTTTGTTAATCTTAAGGTAGGTAGTTGTATTTAAATGGTTATATTGAGCTCCAATTACCGAATCATGATGGTGGTGATTATGATAGTGGTGATGATGATGGTGGTGGTAATGATGGTGGTGATATCAGATGGTGATGATAGTGATGATGGTGCTGGTGGTGTTGATGATGGTCGTGATGGTGATGTTGATGATGGTGATGATAGCGATGATGGTGCTGGTGGTGTTGATGATGGTGATGATGATGGTGATGATGGTGCTGGTGGTGATGGTAGTGGTGTTGATGATGGTGATGATAGTGATGATGGTGCTGGTGGTGTTGATGATGGTGGTGATGATGGTGCTGGTGGTGATGGTAGTGGTGTTGATGATGGTGATGATAGTGATGATGGTGCTGGTGGGGTTGATGATGGTGAAGATGATGGTGATGATGGTGCTGGTGGTGTTGATGATGGTGATAATGGTGATGATGGTGGTGTTGATGATGGTGATGGTGGTGATGGTAGTGGTGTTGATGATGGTGATGACAGTGATGATGGTGATGGTGATTTTGTTGATGGTGTTGATAGTAATGGTGCTGATGATGATAATGTGATGATGGTGATGGTGGTGATAATGACAGCCGCTCGTTTTATGAAATATTCTCTTTAAAGTAGATTTCAACGATAGAAGTTTCTCTGACCGACATTTGGCAATATTTCAGGGTAAATTTGGACCAGAAGCTGAACAAGAGATTGATTCAATGATTGTTGATATTCAGCTTGCAGACAAAGCAAACTGGCAGAGTAGATTGTTGTCTGGTGGGATGAAACGTAAACTGAGGTGAGTAATACACCAAATCAACCAAGATTGGTGTAAGCACTTTGCTACCAGATAAAAGCATATAGCTGGTGAAAGATCAGAATTATAAGGCGATGGTTTTAACTAGAATCTTAAAATTCCAGTTGTCATCTAAAATTCAAGTCAGTGGTCACTAAAATATTTTGTAAGATGTGAATTCCATATTCCTGTTTCATCGTTTGTCAGCTATCAGTTAAGATATTTCGTCAGTATAAGATACGAGCATAACGCGGATACCATTTCTTCCTTTAGTTGCGCAATTGCTTTGATTGGTGGATCTGAGATCGTGTTCCTCGACGAACCCACTTCCGGCATGGATCCATATGCCCGCAGAGCGACATGGGATCTCTTACTAAAGTATAAAGCTGGAAAAACTATCATTCTTACAACTCATTTCATGTAAGTGAGCTTCTAGAATCTGAATGACGCGCTGTCCTTTGGTACATTTAGTGCATTTCCCTTCTCGATCTAGTTTACCATTATAATTTCTCTTCAACTCCATGTGGAAGATGAGCGCTCCCGGTTTGAATATACTAAGCTAGGTTTTCTCTGGGTACAGTGGTTCCCCCTGTGGTAACACTGAAAGAGCAAGGGATTGCCTTTACTGGATCTCCAGGGAAAATAAATTAGAAATGATAAAGCTATCCACTAAAACAGTTAGTTTTACCGTCCATGTTAGTAATTATCTTGAGAATTAAACAACCATATTGTTCCCGCAGGGACGAAGCAGATTTTCTTGGTGAGAGGATCGCAATCATGGCTGACGGACAGTTGAGATGTTGTGGGAGTTCTTTATTCTTGAAAAGCAGGTGGATCTTTTATTAGTTGCGACCATACTTTTCTAGAGTGCCGCTATTATTTGCAACTGCCTCGCTATTCTATTCGATTAAAAGCAAAATAAACCTGACTAATCATTTTTCCAGGTATGGCGTGGGATATCGTTTAACCCTCGTCAAAGCTGCCGACTGTAACGTAACAGCGACGTCAAGTTTGGTTTACAATCATGTTCAAGATGCGAGAATGGTCAGTGATGTTGGTGCTGAACTTGCATTTGTTCTGCCAAGTCAAAGTTCCGTGGGCTTTGAGCCTCTGTTTCGAGAACTGGAAGGTAAGAGTGGTCGGGTGTTTAATGAAAGATAATGGTGGTTATGATGGGATCATGGTAGTGTGATGGTGTTGATCGTAATGTGGATAGTGGTGATGATGATGGTAATTTTGATGATGGTTGTGATGATGGTAATAGTAATGATAGACCTGCTGGTGATGATGTCGTAATGGTGGTTTTGAGATGATGGTGATTAAGACGGTAGGGGTGGAGTTATTTATTGTGATGATGGTGATCACTGCCTGGTGGTGGTGGTGAAGGGTAGTCCTTCCTGGTAGTGCTGAAAATGGTGGTGGAGATGATGATAATGATGGTGGTGATGGTAATGTAGGTGATGTACCAGTGATGATGATGGTGATGATCATGGTTACCATTATGATAGGTGTAATGGTGATGTTGATGGTTCTATCTTTCTTTGTTTTGATCATACAGAAGGCAAAGAGAAACTGGGCATCAGTAGTTTTGGTGTGTCAGTCACGACTTTAGAAGATGTGTTTATTAAAGTGGGGGAAGGAATGGAACATACTGTTGATGAAGTGTAAGTATATAATAGATTACCCCCAATAGCCTGTTTTATCCAAGAGGAATCATCCGGCCTATGTGGCTCAAACTAGCTGTTGTGACGACCTTTTGAGGTAAAACAACTATTCCTGCTCTATATGATATCTTTAGCATTTTATGAACCAAACCACATTCGTGTTAGATTACCCCATCTTATCTAGGATAATTATCAGTGACCCATTTGTGTCTGGTTATTTTTCAGACGTGAAGCAAAAGAGGCTGACACTCATAGTCTCGACATTCTTGCTGATCCAACATTACAACTGGACCATTCAGGTTGGTCATGAAGGCTTTCCAAGAGCCAGCAAAGTAACTCCCTACAATTCCAGTGACAGACAGTTATTTGTGTATTTTTATCTAATGCAACTACAAGGTGTAAAAGCTCGGAAAAAGCTTCTGGTGTCATACACAATCTCTAAACTCTGCCAATTTTATTTAGAACTGATGACCGGCATTTCGCTGAAGATCCACCAATTCAAGGCGATGTTCATGAAGAGACTTCTACATTCCAAGCGAAACAAAGCAGCTCTTTTCACTCAATTCCTTCTTCCCTTAATGATGACCTTGCTAGGTCTGGCCATTGCTAAATCTGTGAAACCGATTTCAGACGAACCTTCAAGAATGTTAGGTTTCAAGAATTTGAGTGTGGACAACAAACTCACGAATTCCATGTTTGCAAGCTTTTCCTCAAAAAGCAATCTCACGTTTCAGGTAGTTTGCTTTAAATGCTTTTAGTCATAGATGAAGTTTTGGAAACATGACAGAAAAAATATTTCACAGCACAGTCAGAACATTTTCCCAATGTTATTTTCGTTGCTGTTTGTCGTAATGGCCCGCCTTCGGGAAACATGGCTAGGAAACATTGTCTCCTGGTTTGCTTATCTATGGGAAACATGGCTAGGAAACATTGTGTCATAGCCACTGATCTAATAGTAGAGGTCATAGCCAAACTTCATGAAATATTTGTAAGAGACAATGTCTATGGGCAGGAGACAATGCTTCTTGTTTTGTCCACCTTCGGGAAACATGGCGAGAAAACAGTGTCCCCCCCCCCCCTCCCCCTACTCGCTTAGGAGTGTCTAACGTTTAGCAAATCATTTCCCTCCTCAGAAAGCTTATAGTTACCTGGAAGAAAAGCAGAAAAACAAACTGTCGGATATCACCAATGAACTGCGCACACTCAAGAATGAGAACAGTGGTAGCACAATTTACATTGACAAGGAAAACAAAACTGCGATGGATCCTAACAACTGTTGTGAAATGCCCTTTCTGATCATCAACGAGAAATGCAGAAAACAAGTAAGATATTTTTGATTCCCTATTTTAGAATACGCAGTCTTCTGGTTGTCTGGAACGCGGATCAACTTATGATTAATTTTATATTGTATATTATGTACTATTTAAAACACGAGTAAGAGTGTTTTATCAGATATAAAACGCGAGGCGCAACCGAGTGTTTTATATCTGATAAAACACGACAACGAGTGTTTTGAATAGCTTAAAATACGACTACAAAAGAATACTAATTAGGATGAACCGTAATATAATCATGCTAATTAAGATGAACAATTATATAATGCCACATGTGTTTTATCAAATATAAAGTCACTCCACCTGATGTATTATGACTGACATGATTTGCCACAAGGTTTACGAATTATTAATGAGTATTTTAAATTCATTAATTAAGTGGTGGGTTTTAGTAGGTGATTCTTGCCACAGTGGCCTATCGGCTGCAAATTTTGTGACACTAACAAGTTATCAAACTGATTGTCATGCTATATTAAAAGAAAAAAATTCCACGGACTGAGAATCTCATATACTTTCAGGAATATAACATAAAAGTAATTTAGGTAACGTGCATCAGGGTCTGATCCTAAGGTAAATTTACAGATGCCAAAAAAATGGATACTATTAGGGGGCACTGCTAGGGTGATCTGGTGCTCCCCCAGAAAGTTTTGAAAACCAAGTGTCTCAGATTGACTAAAAATGCATTTCTGGGAACTCAAAAATTTTCTGGGTTAAATGGTCCTGTGGTCCGATATTTTTTCCACCCCTGGTGCCCATGGTCGCATTTTTTGCAGGTGCTTCTGGTTAGGTGTAAATAAGTATATAAAATTTACACTCAATACCTTCATCTACAAAACAACAGTAGTTCAATCAAGTGAAATGCCCCCCAATATCCTGATATTTCCCCTCATACCTCACCATGGCTCCTGACCTTAGCATATATACAGCTCGAAACTGGACTCAGTAGCTCGGTTGGTTAGTGCGCTGAGCAATGTAACTTGAAATATATAGCTTGTAGAATGCTTAATTTTTTTAAAATTATTATATTGTGTAGTTAGCGCCTAACAACAGAAAATGTACTCCAAAGGGTTACAAGGAATGTGTCGACAAATGCTTAAAGTAAGTCAGCTTTTCGTCTGTTTGTTCTCTTTGTTTGATTTCAGTACTTCATGTAGGAAATTTATTGTTTTCACTTTTCACTCATCAGTCATTCCCTTGTCGATTCATTCATTGCATGTATTGAATCACGATATATATTCAACTGCAGCTAACGCTGATGTTTTGAATCTTTTGCTATGTAGCCTAGAGTTCACCGTGGGCCCGCGGTTGTTCGACAGCCAGTTATAGCTTAACCCTGGGTTCGCCTAAAATTCAAAGCAAACTTTTCAACAGCTTGTTCATAAGCTTGGAAATATTTCTTCAGAAATCTTGCGTGGGGTCAATAGGAGGTTTTTTTCTGACGTCTTTGTAATAAGTATAGGTAATCATGCGATGGCGAGCGCAATTAGGGATTAATAGTACGAGTGATGTTTGGAAATTTTGCCAAAATTGGACGAGCCGCTGGGGCAAATTTCCAAACATCACTCGTACTATATTAATCCCTAATTGTACAAGCATGACAAAATTGGATACTTCTCAATGTCAACATCATTCTCTCGCCAAATCCCAGTTCTGCCACACTTTCGACCAACATTTGGTGCTTTTGTTCGTATTTTCATTTGTTCTCTTTTTTTTGGTAAAGCAAAGTTGGTGCTTTTGTTCGTATTTTCATCTAGTTCCTCTAGGGTAATTTCATTTCACATTTGTGTTTAAAATACCTTTCCGCCATTTTGTTTGTTTTGAGAAAATCATTAAATGTACTGCAGTGCAATTAATGAAATAATTGTACTCCTCTCAAGCAATCAGCATCCAGTAATTTTGTCATGCTAATAATAAACAGAGATACAAAAACTAAAACGGCGGATTAACTTTTAATCCAGGCTAAGCGCTAATCCTGCTTTGAAGGGCCTGTTCATATGGGCCAACGAAATCCCAAAGTAACGAGGGTACTACTTTCAGAAATCAGCTTCATGAAGATATTAAAATATTTGATCTATTTACAATTTCAGCGAAGATTCGTCTAGCGCCGTTTGTCCTCAACATCCAAATCAGACGAAGCCTGATGAATGGGAGACGATATTTGCGGAACATGTGTTAAGAAAAAGTAATCCTGGCGAATATTTCTTTGAAAATATTGCTGGATTTTTGATTACTGATGATAAAAAAACAAATCAATTAGTTTATAACACCTGGTTCAGCAATGAGGTAATTAGCGATTGTAATTAATAGAGTAGGTATAATTGATTGATTGGTTAATTATCCATTAATTGGGTTATTAATTGATTCTGATTGCTGATTATTGTAAGTAGATGATAGCAGATTAGAGCGCCGCACCGGAATCATTGACTTGATGACTATCAACTGTCTTTTTAAATTCACAAACGAAACAACTGTTCTTCTTTCTAGGCTCTCCATACCATAGCAGACAGTATAAACGTCATGAGTAACTTGATTTTAAGAAGTATAAACGACTTTTATGAAATCAAAGCTTATAACCATCCTCTGCCTTACAGCACAGAAGGCAAGGTAGGCACTAAACTAAATTTACTTCATTTTTACTGATATATTCTCTTTTCGCTGCGATTTCTACTGCGATTTCTGCTTCTGATGGATGTGAACGAGTAGATGAGTTATAAATGTTCTGAGTATATGTATCCTCATCAGAACATTCACAACTCATCCACTCGTTCACATCCATCAGAAGGAGAAAATCACGCTTAATAAATAATAATAATAATTACATTTATAATGCGCATATTCCATTTGGGATATGTTCATATGCGCATGACAATTTGATACGTAGAATATAAAATTAGTTAGAACTATTTAGTTAAAATTATTCTTTAAAATTAACCTAAATTACAAACTTTATTTACACATAGGATTTCTTAAATAAGTATGTCTTTAAAAGTCTTTTAAAACTGTCAACAGAGCTAGCCTCTCGGATATATGAAGGTAAGGAGTTCCAAAGCGTGGGTGCCGCAGAGGCAAATGATCGATCACCTAACGTGGCCAAAGTCTTCACAGAAGGTGGCTCAAGAAGAATTTCTCTGTTCGATCTAATATTATAGTTAGATGGAGACTTAATATTTATTAGTTCAATTAAGTAATCAGGTGCCAGCCCATGCTTACGCAAAAATTGAAAGTGTAAACGGGCCTTTAGAGCTGGCCATAAACTGGATGTAGACAAATTTAAACGTTGAAATAGTTAAAATATGAGCAGCCGATCTTTATCTGATATAAAAACTCGAGTCGAAAACGAGAGTTTGTATATCAGATAAAGAACGGATGCGAATGTTTTAACGTAATTAAAAAACGACCCATCTGATGAGTTCATTGGCGAAGTAATTTTAAAAATACATATTGTCTAAGCCGAGAGAATCAAAGCTGAAGTTTATGTAAATCAGGACAAATCTTTATCCGATTTACAAACATTGATTAAACATTCATTTCTTTTGTAATTTCCTTATGATTATTAATGAGTTTTTACCGATTGTGACACACGCATGTCTTAACCGAGAGCTGGAAACTATAACACCGCGGAAAAACGTCTGCGCATGCGTCAACCTTACCTGTAATAGTATTGCAAACTTGATGAGAAGCTGTTCCGAACGTTTCCGAAGGCTCAAAATGGCGGTAAAAAGGAGTGACTTCATTGTGCGTCTTTACAGCCAGATCTCGAGCGCAAAAATAAACATGTCATTCTAAAAACTAGGAATAAATACAGCCAGAAGGTTCAAGAAATTGTATTGTACAAGAACATGAACTAAAGGTGATTGTTGACAAATTTATCGTCCGAAACATTTTGTTTATCAACTAAGCAACGACAATTTCCGAATTTTCGTTTGAGATACATTTCTTTAAAAAAAACTGTGTTCACAATAAAAAATTTTCGTGTTCACAATAATTAAACTTTAGGATTTATTCTACAATTTGAGTGGGTTAAGAAGCTTAACTTTTCGAGAGTTTTCTTAACTTTTTAGTTTGAATTTTTGTTTTGAATGATTTTGCAAAAATTTTCGAAGTCGTGTCCGTTAAAATCGACAATTTTTTACATGAATTATATTTCATTCCATACTTTAAATGGCAGGACGCTTTCAATTAATGTCTAGTCTACCCATTTGCTATATTTTCTCGAATGTTTTACTAATTTTTGACCAATTAATAAGCATGTTTTTGTTTTAAAAATTGATATTCAAATTCCCCGCCATATTTTCATAATTTGGTGCATGCGCAGACGTTTTTCCGCGGTGTTGAAAACTATGGATTCAGGAACGGTTTCTCGGGGTATTTCAGCTACCTGTTTGGTTGAGTCAAACTGGAAGTACTCAAGCCATGTGTACATTTTCTAAATAAATGCTTGTGTAACCTTTCTACGCGCTGAGATAATTCTGTTATTCGTTTCTCTAAGGCTGACAACGTGATCGGTGATTTTTCTGCGCTGTTGCTTGCTATTTTCATCAACTTTGGTATGTCCTTCTTGGTCGCTAGTTTTATCACATTTCTAATTCTGGAACGCGAATCCAAGGTAAATATTGTTGTTTACATTTAAACAGACTTCATGCAAGCGAACTCCATCAGTTCTAAACTGTTCTGCACACACCTTCGTTTTACAGCCCTAAAATTGAAGGGTGGGATGGCTAGACCAATGTTCAATCATCTCATTGAATGCCTAAGTGCGCGGTAGAGCGTTTTGTCACGATTTTCTTCAGACCTTCGTTTTGCCAGCCATCCCTCCCGCGAATTTTAGGGTTTGCTCTCAGGCTACATACTTGAAAGTCCATTTAGGGTCGTGAGGTTAAATTATAATCAGACAACTGAAATATAATGTTTGGGATCGAATCCCGACTACAAAAGTAGACCATTGTGGTATCTTCAAAGTTTATATTATAGTGTGATAATAAAATAGATACGATTACCGGGGGGAGATAGGTAATGTCAAACTGCGGTGGTACTGGATTAGTACTAGTCTTTTAAATTATTGATTTATTGTTTTGTAGGCAAAGCATATCCAGTTTATCAGCGGAGTGGACACAGTGAGTTTCTGGTCGGCTACATATTTATGGGATTTCATCAACTACATGATCCCAGCAACCATTGTGATTTTCCTCATTCTGATGTTTCAACTTGATGCCTTTTCTGACACTGAAACTGTTGGATCTATTTACTTTTTGTTGGTAAGTGTCGTGGGCGCCTGTAGCCTTCCTTCTATCCACACGCATTAAAGGAAGGGAAATACGTAGCAAACATAGATATGTTGCTACCGTGTGAGTAAGTTGTTTTGTGTGTGTTTGTTAGTTTGTAGTTACATTCCGGTTATGATTGAAATTTCCTTATAGATCCTTCAAGGTCTTTCCGCAATTCCGTTTGTCTATTGCTTCTCGTACATTTTCAAGACTCCACTAATTGGTTATTCCATAACTGTTTTGGTTCTGGCCTTCCTTAGTCTGGTAAGCGTCCCATACTACTAACTACATCGTATTCTAGAAATTTTATATTTTTTCAACAGTGATATGCTGGCGATTATTCATCATTCCCTTTATTCCAGGGACTGCTTATTGCTGTCTTCGTACTGGACGCGTCCGATGAAGCTGATGCTGCAGATGTCCTCAACTATATATCCTTACTCATACCTACTTATGCGTAAGTCGATTACAGAATTTGTGACGAGTCCGGAGTTTGTGTTATCAACAAAACTTGTTTATCAAGGCTTGGGTTGATACTACAAACTGATGCTTTGATACTTCTCCATCTCATGAGAAAACCGATTTCAGTAATTGTGTTATTTTTTATTTGGAAGATGAAACAGCGGCCGCTTGTTGGAAGCCATTTGTGTTGTGATACAATTTTTTGGTTTTGTGATTTGGGTCTTTATCACACGCAATGATGACACAGGCGCGACATCCGTGTCCGTTTGCAACGAATGGTCTTCACTGACTTGTATTTACGTTTGTTTTAGGTTTTCAAGCAGTTTCCTTGAACTGAACAAGAATTATGGTTTAAGAAAACAATGCACCGCATCTAAAGGGTAAGTTATCTCTAAACTGTGAGCTACTCTGTTTTACTGAGCACCGTATCACGCAGTAGATATTGCTCATCAACAGGCAGTTTGCAGAGTGAGAAAATAATGCTAATTATTATTATTATTATTATGAGCGTTTGATGGCAAATATATAGAACAGAGAGAGAGAGATTTGGTTTAATGTTTGTTTTTTCTACAATTTTTTTTTTATTTAGCTTTGCCAACTAGGGCAGGGTCACCACAACAGCATATGCCAATTACTGTGGGCCCTTTTACCTAACCCAGCCTGTCAACTTTCTCTGTGGGAGGAAACCGGAGTACCCGGGGAAAACCATGCACGACTTTCGGCAGAGCGTTGACTTTTACGCTTTTCACATGAGGACTGGGTTCGAGTCACATTGAGAAAGTTCTCACTGAGGCTTGAACCTGCGGCCTTAGAGGTGAAAGGCAATATATTTTTTAAGGTTTGAATAATGCTAATCGTTAAAAATTTGCGAAGCATGGCTAGCTTCGCCATTGGTGTGAACATTCTGGAAGGGTAGTTGTCTCGTACGCCTATATGGATACAGGCTAGATCCTAATCTGGTGATCTACGCTTACATGTCTTGTTTCTGTTTACTGAAACATAAACTGTTTTATCTTTTAATAATGTCCATTGTGTTAATTCATATACAGGGCTGAAATATATTGTGCTAATCTCGGCTTCAAGTACACTGATCACGCTTTGAACTGGGAAGACTATGGCGTTGGCAAGCAATGTCTTTATATGGCCATTGAAGCAGTTGTCTACTTTGCTTTGTGTTTACTTTTACAGGTTAGTGTATTCTACTTCTTCATGATATAAACTTTAAAACCCCAGTCACGCATTGTTACAGGGGACATTTCAAGATCTAAATCGACAAAATAAAGGTTCGATGTTGAGTGTCCAAATAAGTTTTAATTTAACTTAACTTAACTCAAAAATAAAATACATGATAGTGTTAGAAAAGCATTGAACGTCACATGCACTTTCATCTTCGCTTGCTCGGGGCTTAACTCTCTTCCATATTTGCCGTGGTTTGTGTGTGAACTACGTGAAAAGAATCTAACTTTGACATTTCACGTAGAAGGCTCAAGTCAAGGGTTAGTATTCGCTCGACGAAGCGTCGAAGTCTTTTTCAGGCGGTTCAGAAACGTAGCACGACAGTTTGTTGTGTAGAATAGTACCTACACCAGAGCCCCATGCAGTAACGCTTTCTTGTCCTAACATGGTATATAATGATGCAATTTATAAGTAGAATAAGTCCACATAATTTTTCACTGTGTAGGTGAATTTCTTCGTCAGTGCTCGGAAACAGGACCATCTTGCCAACACAACTAGCGATGGTACTCCTGAGGTATGTTTTAATCATAATGCATGAATAACTTGAAGGCAACATAACTTAGAACAGTACTTTGGTGAAATAATGGTTAGGAACACTAGAAAAATAAAGGACGACTCTACTGTTTTTCTAAGGGCCGGTCATTATTTATGGCGGGGGGTGGCACAAAAGAGAAATGTTTTGCTTGGTAAATATTTTGCTGATCCAACCATTAAAAAGTCCAAAAAAATATTTTACCCAACCTCGAATATCAATTAAAAAATAAATACCCACCCCTGACCAAAAACTTATACAAAAAAAGGATACCAGTGAATTTGCAATTTTCTGCAGTCTAAAGTTTCATGTTGTCTGTACATGTACTTTCTTTGGAGACCATGGTCAAGATAGTAACTCTGACTAATTTACATATTGCAGTGAGACATGCCTGTTCACATTGCGTTTTAGTCTTTTTGTTTAATTTAATCTTATTTTGTTTACCCAACTCTTTTTCTCTTCGGTGCCACAACCCCCACCCCCCCCACCCCCCATAAATAATGACCCCTCCCTAAGGTAAACAGTTAAGTGCTGGTAGATCTAGCCAGTACTAATAAAGTTCAGTTTAGGTTTCATTTTGAAGTAACACTGGACTAATATTGGATGATCGCTATCGGATAATAACGGAGAACAGTTTCGAACTGATAGAAAAACAATAAAAACGTGAAGTTAATCTGACACTCATTTTAACTGACTGTTAACAAGATATTGTAGGAAGAAGTTATTTCGCTGACATTTCTTCAAGATTGGTTTAGAAACAAACTTGGAATAGGGTTAGGTTAGGGTTAGAGTTGGTGTTTGGAATAGGGTTAGTGCATGTTAATATAAAACCGTCGCTTTGTTACGTTTTGTCACTCTGAGGCCAGCGAAATAACCTCTTCCGATATTGTATGTAGGACTCAGATGTCGCCGGTGAAAGAGATCGTATCAATAATTTGAATCTCGATACCCTGGAACAGGAAGCCATTGTTTTGAAAAACCTCACAAAGGTAAGCAGGCCTTTGTTCAAGCACGTAGATTGTGGGTAACATTAGACTTTTTACATTAGAGATATTAGACTGTCTTGATGTATTTCTAGGTGTATCCTGGAGCAACGCGTACAGCTGTGGATAATCTCAGTCTTGGTGTGACCAAAGGGAACTGTTTTGGATTGCTTGGGATAAATGGTAATTTGTACCTCAGTAATTATGCTAACTAACTGTTATTCTTGAACCTGGCATTGTCCACCAGTCTTGCCATACTCGCCTTCTCTGCAATGTCTACCACTCCACATCTTCTCATTTCTTCATTCCATAATGTCTTTCTGACTGACTCTCTCCTTATCTTTTCTTATTACATGTCCATACCATCTCAACCTTGCTTCCTTCATCGTCTCTGCAATGTCTTCCACTCCACATCTTTTTCTCATTTCTTCATTCCATAATGTTTCTCTGACTGGTTCTCCTTCATCTTTTCTTATTACATGTCCATACCATCCCAACTCTGCTTTCTTCATCATCTCTGCAATGTCAGACTGCGAAACCACTAGGATCCATCCCGTTTTCTAAAGTCCACGGCCTTTTTGTTTCAGGTGCGGGCAAGACAACAACGTTTGGAATGTTGACAGGAGAGTTTCCAATCTCAGCCGGAACAGCTTACCTTGATGGCTACAATATCCAGTCTCAGTTACGAGAGGTGAATACGATGTCGCCTGAAATCATAAACGGCTGTTGAAATTTTCTTTCGATATCTCCCACCGAAACAAAATGTTATTAATCCTCATCAACACTTGTTCTTTTTCTTAATTTAGGTGCAACAACGTATTGGATACTGTCCTCAGGTAATTTATCTGTTGATCCTGCTGCGTGTTCTAAGTTATTAACGACTAGTTTGTAACAAGTTGTTATCATGTTGTAACAAGCCTAATGGCCGTATCAAAGTTGTTACAAAGCTTTCAACCGGGTGTCCTCCAAAAAACTGGACACTGTTTGATTTCATGTAACGTAAAAGCTATAAAAGATATCGCAATGAAATAAAGATTATTGCATTCAGAAAGGACTAACTTAGATTTTGATATATAGCATTTGAATTTACATGCAATATTGACTGCGCTATTTATGTTTGAACGTTGAACTACTGTTTTTGAAACAAGCTTATAATAACCGATGTAGTTATACTTGTTAAATAATAAATATTTTTATTTTGGTTTAATCTCGCTCAATATTGCATGCATGTAGATTCAAGTGTTATATATGAAAGTTGAACGCACCCTTCTCACCATGGATAATAAAATAAATGGATAGGAAACTAGCTGACGTGACCTAATGTTTTTACTGGGATTGATGGCGTGGTTGGATGCCTCAACCTAGTTGAAAATCAAATTCTCAAAAACCGGGCATGTTTAGCAAGAATACAGCTAAACATTTTAGTCAAAGAGCAAATAAATGTAACCACGCCATTCTACGATGAAAACTCTAAGTATTCCCAGTCAATTTTAGCAAATATTTCAAGCACTAAACAGTGAAAAATACATCGCAAATTTCGTTAAAATTTGTGACGCCAATTTCGTAGCTACAAATGTAAAAAAATATAAAACAAAGACGAAAACATTTACCTTCAATACTTTGTCGTGGCTTAGGCATGTTTTTAAAACAATTAGACCAGTTTACGCTTCAAAATCACCCTTTTAAAGTGGAAAATATAGCAAAACAACAAATATGCCGAGAACTTTGGTAACATTCGCAATACGCGTGACGTCACATTTTTCAACAAGGATGCAGTCAATGACGTCAGAAGTTTCCAATCTATTTATTTTATTATCCATGATCTCACCAAGCTGTTAACTGCATATTGCAGGAATATTGCTGAGATGAAATGCACATACTCTAACTGCATTGATGAATAATTTCCTATCTAAATGAACTGTCACCTTTGTATATTTGTGTAGTTTGATGCTCTGATTGGGAGCCTTACAGGCCGGGAAATGCTTGAGATGTATGCTCACCTCCGAGGCATTCCATACGACAAGATGGACGACCTTGTTCAACACACGATTGAAAGCTTAAATCTTGTAAACTGGGCCGACAAAATGTGTGGAACATACAGGTAGAGAATCATGCATTATTCCTCAAATTTATTATCAATTCATTAACAAAACACAAAGAAAATTAGCAGTGTATATCATTGTTTTGACACCACTGTAATGAGCATTAGTGAATTGACTTTCCCGTTGAATATCTCTAAATTATATATGAATGTGTTTTGTGGGCCACTAGGGAGAATGAGGCCCACCAGTTTTGAGGACCACTAGGGAGAATACGTTACTGTAATTGGTGTTACCCTCGTTAAATAAAGTTTATTGTATTAATATAGTGGCGGGAACAAAAGGAAACTGAGTACAGCTATTGCTCTTGTCGGAAACCCACCTATCGTGTTCCTTGTGAGTATATGGTTTACCTTAATTTTGAAAGGGAGGCCCCCTTGGTTTTGAAAAGGGGTCCCCTTCATTTTGAAACGGGCTTGATGTGCTTGAAAGCTCATGTTGTAAGGAATCTTGTGGTTGCTTCTCTCCTGTCTCTCCTGTGCTTTGAGGGTTTTCCTTCGGGTAAAGTGGTTTTCCCTCGCCAAAAACTAACCGTTCAGTCTTAGTTGTGATGGGTCGTATGGTTGTAGTCAGTGGCGTCGTAGTAAACTTGGTCACATTTGAGCTTTGTCTTTCGTAGTTCAGCGCTCAGCGACAAGAAAAGTGATCAGCGCCCCTGCCTTTACTAATAATGTTATCTCCTGTGTAGGACGAGCCCACAACAGGTATGGATCCTGGAGCCAGACGTTTCCTGTGGAATTACTTGACGTCTGTTATCCGTGCTGGAAGATCTATCGTTCTCACTTCTCACAGGTAATAACCTGCGTGATCATGTGTTGATGGTGATGACAGATGATGATGTGGTGATGAGGATGACAGATGATGGTGGTGGTGATGACAGATGATGGTGGTGATGATGATGTGGTCATGGTGATGACAGATGATGGTGGTGGTGGTGATGGTGATGACAGATGATCGTAGTGGTAATGATAGTGATGACAGATGATGGTGGTGATGATGGTGGTGGTGGTGATGACAGATGATGGTGGTGGTGGTGATGACAGATGATGGTAGTGGTAATGATGGTGATGACAGATGATGGTGGTGATGATGGTGGTGGTGGTGATGACAGATGATGGTGGTGGTGATGGTGGTGGTAATGATGGGGATGACAGATGATGGTGGTGGTGATGACAGATGATGGTGGTGATGATGATGTGGTCAT